TAACTTAAATTAACCTAACCAAACTTAATTTAAGCTATCCTAACCTATCCAAATTTAACATAACCTCACCTAGCTTAACCTAACCTGATGTACTGTAACCTAACCTAACCTAACCTAACCCCCCCAGGTATAATTAGAGTGATTAATCTTCAGGTGAAATAAGCTGGGGGTGAATCTTGAAGTGTTCCTAAATATATTAATAAGACAATACAGTTTGGTCATAAATTAAGACATTCGTATGAAATCTTTTCGAATTTTTGACAAACTTGGAGAAAGGCAAAACTATTTTTAACAAATTTTAATCGAAATTTGAACTTCTCACATTATATAAAGTGAGAGGAACTTTTAAAGTGGTTGTCCAGAGTTAATACAAGATTCACCCACGCATCTGAAATTAAAATACCAATTCATTTTTGTTCCTTAAAAAAAAAAAAAAACTCTTAAATTATGTTATACTTTACTGTTTTTTTTTTGAGACAATCCCGGACAAAAACACCAAATCAATTGTTGTGTTTTTCCATGTGCCCATATATATATTTTTTCCCCAACAGCGGATCTAACATGAAAAATAACAATACTATTTTTGTTTTGTGTCTTTGGTCAGGTGTGAACGCCCATCGCCATGATGATGGGAGGCACCGACGCGGTAAACACCCCAGGGCTGCCAACCTGTCCAGCATCACCCCAGAGAAGCAGAACAATACGGAGGTGGTGGCACAGGTTGGCGGCACTGCCTCCATCAAGTGCTACACACACTTGCTCGGAGATGAAGTGGTAAGTGAAGACATTTCCCTCTTTATTCTAACTCACAATGTAAATTTATTCAAGACAACTGTCGCGGAAGATGTTGTCAGCCCTTTTAGATATTTAACAGTAAAACATTTTCAGCCCATCGTCAATATGGTAATATGTATACACAGTGGTTAGACTACTGTTTAAGGCTCCTAGTAATGCTGTTCTCTATGTATAAGGCGTTGTGTATGTTGCTTAGTGCACTAGTTGTCATGTTTCGTGTGTTTTTGTTCATATATCATTGTGTGTGTGTGTGTGTGTGTGTGTGTGTGTGTGTGTGTGTGTGTGTGTGTGTGTGTGTGTGTGTGTGTTTATGCACGTTTGTGTATGTTTTTTGTGTGTACATGTTTTTGCGTGTGTTTGTATACATGTTTTTGTGTGTTTCTGTGCGTGTTTATAAGTGTGTACGTGTTAGTATGTATTCATGTTTTTATACCATAGATGTTTACGTTTGTGTGTGTGTGTGTGTGTGTGTGTGTGTGTATGTGTGTGTGTATGTTTGTTTATATTCATATATGTTAGCCACTCGGAACACTATATAACACTACACAACACTATACATCACTATACTTCACTACACAACACTACACAACACTATACAACACTGTGCATCACTACATCACTCATAACTACACAACACTACACAACACTATACATCACTCATAACTACACAACACTATGCAACACTGCAACACTATACTTCACAACACTACACAACACTATACAACACTATACATCACTACACAACACTATAAAACACTATACAAGACTATACTTCACTACACAACACTACACAACACTATACAACACTGTGCATCACTACATCACTCATAACTACACAACACTACACAACACTATACATCACTCATAACTACACAACACTATGCAACACTATGCAACACTATACTTCACAACACTACACAACACTGTACAACACTATACAACAAGACACAACACTACACAACACTATACAACACTACACAACACTACACAACACTACACAACACTATACATCACTACACAACACTACACCACACTATACAACACTACACCACACTATACAACACTAAACAACTCTATGCATTAAGACACAACACTACACAACACTAAACAAACTTCTCAACACTATACAATATAACATAACACAATATAACAACGATATCTACCATAGTATAGAAGGGAAACCAACTCCCTTTATCAAACTGTCATAACCAACACGGTATATTGACAGTCGTGTAAGTTATACTCCTCCGCTGGTATACCCTTTGGCTATACTGCCCCTGACAGCGCTAGACAGCCTTCAACCACAAGTTTGGAAAGTTTGACGCTTTACGCAGCCCAGGACGAAGGAGAGACTGTAGTTTAGGTTTCTACAGATCCCAGGACGGACGGCGAATCTGTCGCAAACTTGGAGGGTTCTGGTGGGAGGGAGAGAATGTTTATATGTAGGTGGTGAGAGAGGGGGGGGGGGATATTTAATATGTAGGTGGTGTGTGTGTGTGACAGAGAGAGACCATAAAGGTGAAAAACAGAGATACAAACAAATAAACAGGTAGAGTAAAATACTAACATGCATACATACGCAAACACTTACACACATGCAAGCACATACACGCAAACACATACATATGCATACAACACACACACACACACACATACATACAAATACACATACACACACAAACACATACTACTACTTTGCTGTCACTCGGAATCGAGTATGATGATCATCCAGCTATAATAAAATATGAGTTATTAAGGATGTCACCTTCTTTGGTGAGCTCTGAGGTGATTCGATAGGCCGATAAGGAACTGGCAGGGTCGTCCACAGATGTTGCATGTGTGAAGGGTTACGTCTAGTGCGGGAAGGGTGGCGGCAGCGTCTTTCTGACGTTGGCGCTTGTCTGCCATGGTATGCAGTCGGTCCAACTCGAAGGTATTGACACCTTCTAGCGTTACGGTTTAAAGTAATCGTCTCCCAGGTGAGGGGGTCGATTTGGTTCTTTTTCAGGTTTGTCTTAGGACCATCTTTATACCTTTTCAGTTGCCCGCCAGTCTTATGTTTAATATTCGTTAGGTGGCTGTCAAATAGCTGCTTTGGCAGTCTAATGTCGTCCATGTGGGTAATGTGGCCACTTCAACGTAATTGTTCATGGAGAATAGTAGCCTCGATGCTTCTACAGTTGGTATCAGCGAGAATACTGGCATTTGTTCTCTTGTCTTCCAAGCGAACTCGGAGGATAGAACGTAGACTATTAGTGAAAGTTTTCAAGTGCTTTGAGGTGCCTCCTGTTTATGACCCATGTCCCGCTGCCATATAGCAAGGTGGGGAGGACCACTGCTCGATATACGTGCTACTGTGTGGATAATTGCTGCTCCCTACACCTAAAGACACGGACACGGAGTCTGCCAAAGGCTTGAGATGCATATATGATCCAATATTGAATCTCTTCATCGATGTATGAGGTGTTTGACAGGTGGGAGCGGAGGTACCGAAAGTGGTTAACATTAGAGAGGGCAGTACGTTAAGCTGGGTGGATGGTGGAGGTGTAGCTGAACCAGGACGGTGTTGCCAAATATTTTTTGTCTCAGCACGACGTAGTTGTATACATATTCTTGTGGCCGACTGTACATTCAGCTCAAGGCCGAAGTGTACATACACATCTGCGTAGGTGTTCAGGATCTCCTGTAGGTCGCATTCAGAGTGAGCAACAAGGGTGAGGTCGTCTGCATACTGAAGTTCAGTAATGGAAGCTGCCAACACCTTTGTTCCTGCCTGGAGTCGTCTTATGTTGAAAAGATCCTTAATCCGATACTAGATGTCCACACAGTCGGCTAAATTGGTACTGGCACGAGTAAGGAATGCAGCCAAAAAAATGGAAAAAAGAGTTGGTGCCAGTACACATCCTGGTTTTACTCCCGTTTGGATGAGGAAGAACTCAGACTGGGTGCCATTGAACAGGACACTGCCGTTCATGCCATCGTGGAGTTGCCTCACAATGACTATGAATTTTGGTGGGCAGCCAAAACGGCTGAGGGTCCACTAGGGCTTCCCTGTTGACCGAGTCAAATGCCTTGGTTAGGTCGATGAAGACCATGTACAGGTCACGACGCTGATCTCTGCTCTTTTCGTGTGTCTGGCGGGCAGCAAAGATCATGTCAGTGGTGCCACGTGATGGTCTAAAGCCACATGGAGATTCTGAGAGGAAGTTTTCCGCCCCAGGAAGAAGTCTGTTTAGGAGGACTCCGGCGATAATCTTGCCAACTACGGAGAACAGCGAGATCCCGCGGTAGTTGCCACAGTCTGACCGGTCTCATTTGTTCTTATAAATATTGACAATGGAGGTGTCTCTAAGAGCTTGGGGGATTTCCTCCTTTTCCCATATATTCTCCAGGAGAGAGTGGAGACTGCTGGTAAGCAGAGGTCCTCCTGCCTTATGCACCTCGGCTTTGTTATTCTTCATCTGCTTGATGGCAGCAGATACTTCATCCAGGGATGGAGGATAGCTGGGGTGGGTCAGCTCTGGATGCTGAAAGTCCTGCTGGGTAGTCAAGACATCCACACCGGTGTTTCGGTTGAGCAGCGAATGATAGTGGTCTTTCCAGTGCTGAAAGATGCCTTCTTCGTCTATAATTAGTGAGTTACCATTGGATGAGGGGATGGGGGCGGCGCCATGAGTGATTGGCCCAAAGAACGTTTTGGTGGAAGTTAAAAATTCGCGCATCTTGTGTCGATCTGCAAGTTTTTTGCATTTCACATGCTTTATTTTTAAACCAGTCGTTCTTTAGATTGCGAAGTTCACGCTGGGCCGCCGCTTTCTTCTTGAAGGTATCAGCTTTGGTTCGAAACTTAGGGTTGTTATGCCAGTTAGTGAGAGCAGCACGTTTACTATTGACTAGTTACTGTAACTAGTCAATAGTAAACATGCTGCTCTCAATAACTGGCATAACAACCCTAAGCTTTTTCTAGCACGACCCCATCCAGTGTTGTCAACTATCCAGTGCGACCCCAAATCATTTCACTGAAGTATTCTTATGACCCTGATCTTGCAGGAAGGATGCCAGTTCACTGCGAAGGAGGAAAACCCTTTCCAAGGTTTTTCCCCGTGACAGCCACCTGACAGCAGTATGCATCAGCAGTGTGTGGTGATTACAATTTTCAGCAATGCACAACTGGTTGAACATGCTGGAATTCATGTCCTTAGCCTTCATGTATTGACAGCTGCAATGACTACCTGCATCACATCAGAGAAGCTCTGAGACATGTCTTTTGATGCCAGACTCTGGCGATGGATGATACAGTGGTTTGTTTTAATGTGAGGATGTTTTCTTGATAAAATTCCACGCAATCCAATGTTCTTGCCCATCATTGATGGGGCACCATCCATGCTGCATTCAGTTACCTTACTCCATTCCAAGTTGTTTTCAGCGAAGAACTTATCTATAGCACTGAAAATATCCTCGCCTCGTGTTGTAGTTTCAAGTGAAATACAAGCAAGCAGTTCCTCAGCTACTGAAGATTCCTTAAGAAATCTTCCGAAGGTCAGAAGCTGCGGCTGTGATGTAATATCAGTTGACTCGTCCACTGCCAGGGCTATCCGTGGAGAATTTCTGAAGTCTTCCAAAATTTGCTCTTTCAGGTCTGCTGCAAGACACTGGAAGCGTCTTGTCATTGTGTTATTACTCAGAGTAGCATCATCAACAGCTTCAGTTATCTTTTTGGCAAATGGTTCACCCTCAAATACTTCGCAAAAGTTCCTTAAAGTTGGGTTTATGATAGCCTCACCCTCCGTGAGTGGACGTTTTTGCTGAGCAATGAGAAAAGCTGTCTTATATGAGAACATTTCCATCCTCTCCTTGTGAGATAGTGCTCTGCTTAAAATTGACTGAGACTTGGTTAGAGTTTTATGACAATGATGTAAAATTCTTTTACGAGCCTCTTCTGAAAATACAGCAACATTTGTGTGAGTTTCCATGTGTCTCTGTAGTTTGTTCGGCTTCAAAGATTCCTCAGCAAGCTCTTTAGAACACATAACACAAACCCCTTTACCACTGACGTCAGCTACACCATACTTGTCGAGGAATGATAGATTGATAGAGCGTTTCCGTTTCTTGGTGGCTGGCTCCGATGATGTCTTCAAAAACCTATCCATAATGCCTGGAAAATATATTGCATATAGTACTAAAAATATTTCAATTTTACAAACACTTAAGATAATTAAGATAAAATACAGTGTGCTTATAACAAGCAAATAATTGGTAATACGCATACAAATTAAAATACACGACAAAGTGAATGCATACAAAATACCATGACAAAATTAAATTTGCTTAATAAATCAAGTAGCGCTGAGTTGGCCTTCATCTGATATTGCAAATTAATTTTAGTGTCACAAAGCAGGCCGTGGCCGGTCAGTTTGTCAGACTCAGTGCAGGTCCACTGGCATAGCACTAACCTACTGATAGTAAGGATTGTCCTTACTAAGGATTAAACTGGTGAGGCTGAAGATAATCCACAAGCGTCGGCAAGAGCAAAGGTTGCGACCTGTTTCCTGGCCTGGGTCGGTGACCGTATCAGGCCAGGTACCTATAGGTCGCAACCTTTGATCTTGCGGCATCTTGCCGAAGCTTGGCAAGTGTCGGCAAGATCAAATCATCATAGGTTGCGACCTGTCACCTGGCCTGACAGTCACCGACCGGCCCCACCCTGCACAGCTCAACTGTTCTAGGTTAGTGGTGGGAGAGTGGGAGGGACTGGTCAGTTACTCCACCCATCCTCTCCCCATGTGACCTGAGCTGGCAGACCCAAAGGACCCCAGCGACCCCACCGACCCCATGACCTCTTTGCGACCCTACCTAATGAGCCTTCCGACCCCATTTGGGGTCGCGACCCCAGGTTTGGGAACCCCCGGACTAGTACTTCTAATTTCCAGTTGTTTTCATCAAACCAATCCATTTTTTTTCTCATCTGGCCGAGAGTGTCGTTGAAAATTTTTGTGATGACAGCATTGATGGGACCCCATTCGGCACTGCAATTTTGGTCGTTTGTTGTTGGGTTGTTTATCAGCCCATTGTTGAGCTGCTCTCTGGAAGCATGTGCTACCACTTGATCCTTCAATCGTATAGTGTTAACGTCTCTTCTGGAGGATTGTCAGTCTTTGCCGTTTTGAGGCGACATGAAGGGAAACTTTGGCTCTGACAAGCCGATGATCTGTGTCACAGTGGTCTGAGCCACGCATGGCTCGGGCGATGAGGATATCTCGGCTATTTCTTTCACTGACAATGATGTAGTCAATGAGATGCCAGTGTTTGGATCGTGGGTTTTTTGCCAAGAACCCTTGAACTTGTTAGCCTGCCTAAACAAGGTGTTGGTGATAGTGAGGCTGTGTTCAGCACACTTGCCGAGGAGGAATAGGCCGTTGGGATTACACTTGGCTACTTTGTTTCTCTCTTTGGTTCACTTACATATGTCAGCATCTCTGCTAACCCTGGCATTGAATTCACCTAGAAGCACAACGTTATCTTCTCTGGGGATAGAGGTTAGCACTCTGTCAAGGTCCTCATAAAAGGCCTCCTTGATGTCATCCTCTGCATCCAGTGTTGAGGCAGATGCACTGGGATCATTGGGACTCGGAGCGCCATAAGGCGCTCGTTGATCCCAATAGGAATTTCAGTTAGCCCATGTAAAATGGATTAGCGGATGGCAAAACCAACTCCGTAAATACAGTTCCTCTCCGCAGCAGGCTTACCCGTCCAGAAGAAATAAGCCAGACCCCTGTTCTGTGAGTCGACCATCGTCTGAGAGCCGGGACTCACTAACGGCTGCTGTGTCGATGTTATACCTGGCCAGCTCTTTTGCCACAAAGGCGGTTCTTCGATCAGGACGCTCATTTGTGTCAGTACCCAGAAGGGTCCAGAAATTCCATGCAGCGACCATAAGAGGTTGTATAGTTTTATTTTTGCTTTGGTCTGTTATTGTGATTATGTTTTCGACCGCATTAGGATGACCTTACTGGGGGCGGTTGCCCAGTCAGAGTTTTTTTAGGCAGGCTATGTTTAGGGCACCTTTTCTAGTCCCCTCCCCCATGTGGGGTGAGCAGAGTGGCTCCTAGAAAGGGCTGCTCAGTCGCAATCCGCTCATGGATTGAACTGCTGCCACTTGTCTGTCGCCATAGGACTTTTGGGGGTTTAGGGGTTCTCATGATGATGGAAAATATGATGAGCCGGATGATGGCTGCATATGATTTGATTAATGTGGTGAGGCAGTAGCACAGGCTGCAACCACACCTTTTCCTGATCCAGTGGTGCAGGTAGCTACAACACCTGGGGAGAGAGAGAGTTGCAATGGCCTGCCGATAGCCCACTTTGTTGGGTTTCGCCTTAATAGCCTGTCTATCTTGCATTGCCTTCATCCGCTGGTGTAGTCGTTGGGTTCCCATGTTGTTCACCTGATCCTCCTATTCTATGGTTATGGTCTTACTGGAGCTTTGTAAGCATGTCTGCCTGATGCAGGGCTCCATCTCAGATTTTTCGTTCGGGGTTTACTCCCATAGCCTTGTACCTACCAAGGTTAATCCGCAAGGCAGCGGGGCTGTGGTTGTTATGTGCCAACGCGTGCCGATAATGCCGGTGGGCCTATGCGCCGTCCCTCTGGGGCCCACTGCTGCTCTGAGATTCCCTGCTGATCTAGCCTGGGGCCGCAAGGCACCCAGTTACCGTGTGTTGCCACGAAGAGGCCCAGCAGGAGTCTTGATGGCGAGGAGGCTGTGTCCTGGCAGGGAAGACTTCCGCAAGGTTGCTTCCCTGTTCGCCACGAGGTAGCTGAAAGCGAGAGGAAGCAAACAGTTCCTGCACCTTAACACTAACATAATGCTGCCACACTAGATGCATTACACTACCCTATGTGCACACATACGCACATGCACACATCCACACATTCACACACACACACACACACACACACACACACACACACACACACACACACACACATACGCACACACATACACAAAACATACACAAACGCACACATACACACACACACACACACACACACACACACACACATGTATATATACACACACGTCATGCACATGTTCCTTCTTCTTTCAGTAATGAAAGCTTTTGTTAAACGACCCAGCCACCCCATGTCTTTGTATGTAATAAGTCATTTTTGTCCAAAGTATATTTTCAACCTTCCGACTGCAGAACTTTTCAATAAACCGTTAATTATTATTATTAGTATTATTACTAGCAGAATCGCCGCCCTCCGGGCTCATCCGCTAGGCCACGGTAGGACGCCACCCACCGGGAGGCTCCACATTGTCTCACTGTTCAGTCCCCAAAACTTCTTCTTCCATCAATAGTTCATTAACGGTGTATGTAAGTTCCACTACAACGGTACAGTAAAGTATATTTTTTTTAGCATTAAACTGTTATTATTTTATTGTCAAATCATCACTACATATAACACCACCCATCATCACTACATATAACATCATCCATCATCATTACATATAACATCATCCATCATCATTACATATAACACCATCCATCATCATTACATATAACATCATCCATCATCATTACATATAACACCATCCATCATCACTACATATAACACCATCCATCATCACTACATATAACACCATCCATCATCACTACATATAACACCATCCATCATCACTACATATAACACCATCCATCATCACTACAGATCGGTAAAGTAGTTTCCGAGATTCTCGTGCGGACACACACACACACACACAAACACACAAACAAACACACAGACATACTTCTTTGTTTTATATATATAGATTACAAACACATACACATATACACACATACACTTAAATACACACGCACATACATACACACATACATACACACAGATACACATAATGGATGTCCCTCGTGTAACGAGGATGGTCGGCCCTCGGGCCACTTAGGCGTGAATTTGTTTAAGGTGTAGAAGCTGTCGCCAACACAGCAGCCACACCCTAAGTTTACGAGCTGCATGACCCAGTGTCAAGGAATAGTCCGAGAAGACCGGACAACTCGCCAACTGCACTGGCTAACCATTACCCTGGAACACGATCCGCAAATCGATTAACATCCAGGTCCCTAATTACTGCTGGGTAGACAGAGGTAAATGGCGTAAAGAAACTTGGCCATAGTTCCACCCTGCCCGGGATCGAACCCGGATCCCCTCGCTTGCGAGTTGAGCATGCTGACAATTACACACATACACAAACAAATACATTCACACACACACACACACACACACACACACACACACACACACACATGATGTATTCTCGTATCTTCAATAATTTGTACAAAACGGTTGATTTTTATTTTTCTATGAACAACGAAACACAACAACAACGGGGGTGCTGGTGGTAGAGTGGTACCGCTCTTGCTTTCGCAAGCGAGATGTCACGGGTTCGATTCCCGGCCGGTGGAAGTTGTTTGGACAGACTTCCTAGCCCCCATTAGTCCCTGTTCACCTAGCACTAAAGTAGGTACCTGGTGTAAGTCGAAAGTTGCGAATTAGTATTCAGGGACAAGTTGTTGGAGCATCCAATAACTTGATGACATAAACCATTGACTCTTCAGGCTTCTATGCCCTTGACTCTTCAGGCTTCTACGCCCTTAACTCATGAGACATAAAGGCATGCATGAACTTAGCATGCTTCCCTGTTGGGCACTGTAAACGCTTCTGCGCTTCACCTTACACAAGGATGTAGGGAGTGCCCAATAAATAAAAAAAAAACAAAACAACAACGATTTATTATTATTATTATTATTATTATTATTATTATTATTATTATTATTATTATTATTATTATTATTATTATTATTATTATTATTATTATTATTATTATTATTATTATTATTATTATTAATATTATTATTATTATTATTATTATTATTATTGTAGTGATGATGGTGGTGGGAAGCAGTGTTACGGAGATGTGAAGGGATGGTGTGAGGAGTGATGGACAGGTAACATGATGGATGGTTGAGTTATGCAGATACATATTTGAGGCATTATTCAGCTAAAGAGCAAAATTTTAGGATTTGTATTTGATGATGTTCAGTATATTTCTGGAAAATTTTATAAAATTTTATTTTATCACGGAATGGTGATAGTAGGATCATGGCCCGTTCATGGCCGGTCCTGGTAGCATCATGGCCCGTTTATGGCCGGTCCTGGTAGCATCAAGTTCCGTTCGTGGCCGGGCCTGGTAGCATCATGGCCCGCTCGTGGCCGCGCCTGATAGCATCATGGCCCGTTCGTGGCCGGGCCTGGTAGCATCAAGTTCCGTTCGTGGCCGGGCCTGGTAGCATCATGGCCCATTTGTGGCCGGGCCTGGTAGCATCATGGCCCGCTCGTGGCCGTGCCTAATAGCATCATGGCCCGTTCGTGGCCGGGCCTAGTAGCTTCAAGACCCGTTCGTGGCCTGGCCTGATAGCATCATGGCCCTTTCATGGCCGGGCCTGGTAGCATCATGGGCCTTTCGTGGCCGGGCCTGGTGGCATCATGGCCCGTTCGAGGCCGTGCCTGGTAGCATTATTGCCCGTCCAGTCACTTGTGTGGCCGGGTCTGGTAGTATTATGACCCGTCCAGTCACCTGTGTGGCCGGGTCTGGTAATATCATCTCCCATGCAGCCACCAGTATGGCCGGGTGTGGTAGCATTATGGCCCGTCAAGCCACCAGTAAGACCGGGTGTGGTAGCATCGTGGCCCGTCAAGCCACCAGTAAGACCGTGGTAGCATTATGGCCCGTCAAGTCACCAGTAAGACCGGGTGTGGTAGCATCGTGGCCCGTCAAGCCACCAGTAAGACCGGGTGTGGTAGCATCATGGCCCCAGTCAAACCAACAGTAAGACCGGGTGTCGTAGCATCGTGGCCCGTCAAGCCACCAGTAAGACCGGGTGTGGTTGCATCGTTGCCCGTCAAGCCACCAGTAAGACCGGGTGTGGTAGCATCATAGCCCGTCAAGCCACCAGTAAGACCGGGTGTGGTTGCATCGTGGCCCGTCAAGCCACCAGTAAGACCGGGTAGCATCGGGGACCGTCAAGCCACCAGTAAGACCGGGTGTGGTAGCATCATGGCCCGTCAAGCCACCAGTAAGACCGGGTGTGGTAGCATCAGCCACCAGTAAGACCTGCATCGTGGCCCGTCAAGCCACCAGTAAGACCGGTGTGGTTGCATCGCCCGTCAAGCCACCAGTAAGACCGGTGTGGTAGCATCACCAGTAAGACCGGGTGTGGTAGCATCATGGCCCGTCAAGCCACCAGTAAGACCGGGTGTGGTTGCATCGCCCGTCAAGCCACCAGTAAGACCGGGTGTGGTAGCATCGGGGACCGTCAAGCCACCAGTAAGACCGGTGTGGTAGCATCGGGGACCGTCGCCACCAGTAAGACCGGTAGCATCATGGCCCGTCAAGCCACCAGTAAGACCGGGTGTGGTAGCATCGGGGACCGTCAAGCCACCAGTAAGACCGGTGTGGTAGCATCGGGGACCGTCAAGCCACCAGTAAGAAGCATCATCCGTCAAGCCACCAGTAAGACCGGGTGTGGTAGCATCGGGGACCGTCAAGCCACCGCGGGTGTGGTAGCATCGGGGACCGTCAAGCCACCAGTAAGACCGGGTGTGGTAGCATCGGGGACCGTCAAGCCACCAGTAAGACCGGGTGGTAGCATCATGGCCCGTCAAGCCACCAGTAAGACCATCGTGGCCCGTCAAGCCACCAGTAAGACCGGGTGTGGTAGCATCGGGGACCGTCAAGCCACCAGTAAGACCGGTGTGGTAGCATCATGGCCCGTCAAGCCACCAGTAAGACCATGTGGTAGCATCGTGGCCCGTCAAGCCACCAGTAAGACCGGTGTGGTAGCATCATGGCCCGTCAAGCCACCAGTAAGACCGGTGTGGTAGCATCATGGCCCGTCGCCACCAGTAAGACCGGTGTGGTAACATCGTGGCCCGTCAAGCCACCAGTAAGACCGGGTGTGGTAGCATCATGGCCCGTCAAGCCACCAGTAAGACCGGGTGTGGTAGCATCGTGGCCCGTCAAGCCACCAGTAAGACCGGGTGTGGTAGCAGCCCGTCAAGCCACCAGTAAGACCGGGTGTGGTAACATCGTGGCCCGTCAAGCCACCAGTAAGACCGGGTGTGGTTGCATCGTGGCCCGTCAAGCCACCAGTAAGACCGGGTGTGGTAGCATCGTGGCCCGTCAAGCCACCAGTAAGACCGTGTGGTAGCATCATGGCCCGTCAAGCCACCAGTAAGACCGGGTGTGGTAACATCGTGGCCCGTCAAGCCACCAGTAAGACCGGGTGTGGTAGCATCGTGGCCCGTCAAGCCACCAGTAAGACCGGGTGTGGTAGCATCGTGGCCCGTCAAGCCACCAGTAAGACCGGGTGTGGTAGCATCGTGGCCCTGGTGGATTTGGAAGTTAAGGAAGGAGAAGTATTTCACATTATGAAGTAACTCTACAACACCTGAACCGAGGAGAGTCTGAGAAGCTGGAGGTGATGTTAATATACAGTATAAACACTGATAGTAAAGGCAGAGTTTTGGGACGGGTTGAAAAAAGAGCGAGAGGAAGAATTTATGAATAGCAAAAAGTTAGTGTAAAGTTGTGTAGAGTATCGTAAAGTTCGAGTAAAGTACCGTGAAAGTTAGTGTAGAGTATCGTAAAAGTTAGTGTAGAGTATCGTAAGAGAAGGGAAGTAGAGAATAGTCATAACATTAAAGATGACCAACTCCACCACTACAAGAGATAGATGGACTGATCATTCCTCAGTTAATATACTCGAGGTTATCACAGCTCTCGAGGTGTCCGATGCACTAAGAGGACTGTATAATGGAAAAGCAGCTGGAGTGAAGAGTTACCATCTGAATAACTTAGAGGGCGGAGATGCCATGTTTATATCTCTGGCAAAGATCTTCGAGAATGTTTGAAGTACCGGGAGAGTAAGCAAGATTTGTAATACATCCAATATTTATAAAATGCTATAGAACGGTGTGCTGGAATGATAGAGTATTATTATTATTATTTCACGCAGAAAAGGTATTTGGACGAATTTTGGAACATCATTTGAGAGGAAGTGTTAGAGCAGGGACTGGGTGAATGGTATTATAGGTTCCTACCGGGAAGACAAACAATGGACTTGGTATTCACTATGAGAATGTTGATAGAAAAATCCTGGGAGTGGGATGAAGGGCAGATAATCGTATTCATCTATTTAAAGAAACCTTTTGATAGGGCGCCGTGTGGAAACCTGTGGAGGGAGCTGAATGGCGCAGAATATGGAGTCTTCAAAGCCTTTACTGAGAGTGATAACGAAGTCTGTTTGACGTTTATGAATGAGCAGCAGCATGTGGATTAGAAGAACACGTAATAATGGTTCGATGTAGTTATTTGAGTAAGACAAGGGGGAGATTTGTCACCACTGCTGTTTATACCGGACAGGAGACACCACCACTACATTGGTTTATATTGATTATGTCACTATGGTAAGAGGACATGTAGACCATCTAGACATTACCATACCTGAGACGACAAGGACCATCCAGGACCAAAACAAGGCACAGTCCAGAAGAATCCCAAGGAGACCTAAAGAGAAGTGGAAACATGTTGGTTTACAGATTTAAAACCTTGAGAGATGCGCAGGAAGAGGAAACAGTTCTATAAGCGTCACCAAGGTCCTCGACTCACTCCTAAGTGGATATTCATGACTATTGCTGGACTTACGACAAAAGGCTTTTGTTAAGTGAAGGCAATTGAGCTCTCAGAAACTCTCAGTGTACAGAGGGATGAATAAATAGACTTACATTTCAAGATGATGTGCAATACTTGTTGGGGCAACACTTGGGGTCAACACTTGGGTACAACACTTGGGGGCAATACATGGGGACAACACTTGGGGGCAATACTTGGGGATAACACTTGGGGACAATACTTGGGGACAACACTTGGGGACAACACTTGGGGACAACACTTGGGGTCAACACTTGGGTACAACACTTGGGGGGCACATATGGGGACAACACTTGGGGCAACACATGGGGACAACACTTTCAACACTTGGGGCAACACTTGGGGCACACATGGGGACAACACTTGGGACAATGCTTGGGGACAATACTTGGGGTCAACACTTGGGTACAACACTTGGGGGCAAACATGGGGCAATACATGGGGACAACACTTGGTGACAACATTGGGGACATAGACATTGGGGGACAACACTTGGTGACAATATTGGTGACAATACTTGGTGACAATACTTTGGGGACAATACTTGGGACAATATTGGGGACAATACTTGGGGACACACTCAGGACAACACTTGGTGACAATACTGGTGACAATACTTGGTGACAATATTTGGGGACAATACTTGGGGACATTTGGGACAATACTTGGGACAATACTTGGGACACACTTGGACACATTGACACTTGGGGACAATACTTGGACAATACTTGGGGACAATACTTGGTGACAACACTGGTGACAACACTTGGTGACACATTTGTGACAATACTTGGGGACAATACTGGGGACAACATCGGACACACTTCTGTGGACAACACTTGGGGACAATACTTGGTGAGACAATTTCTGGGGACAATACTTGGGACAATTTGGTGACAATACTTGGGGACAATACTTGGTGACAAACTCAGGACAACACTTGGGACAATACTTGGGGACAATACTTTGGTGACAATATTGGGACAACACTTGGTGATGCTTGAGACAATACGTGATACTTGGTGACAATACTTGGTGACATACTTGTGACAACACTTGGGGACAACACTTGGTGACAATATTGGTGACAACACTTGGTGATTGGTGACAATACTTGGTGACAATACTTGGTGACAATTTAGGACAACACTTGGTGACAATACTTGGTGATACATTGGGACAACACTTGGGGACAACACTCGGGACAATACTTGTGACAATACTTGGGGACAATACTTGGTGACAATACTTGGGGACAATACTTGGGACAATATTGGTGACCACGACAATACTTGGTGACAATACTTGGGACAATAATCAAGACAAACTTGGGACAACACTTGGTGACAATATTCAGACAATACTTGGTGACAATACTTGGGGACAATACTTGGGGATAACACTTGGGGACAATACTTATGACAATACTCCAGACAATACTCTGTGACAACACTTGGTGACAATACTTAGAACACTCTGGACAATACTTCAGACAACACTTGTGACAACACTTGGTGACAATACTTGGTGACAACACTTGGTGACAATACTCTGAGACAACACTTCAGACAACACTTGGTGACAATACTTCGAGACACATTTGGTGACAATACTTGGTGACAACACTTGTGACACACGGTGACAATACTTGGTGACAATACTTGGTGACAATACTTGGGACAATACTTGGTGACAATACTTGGGGACACATTTGGGACACATTTGGTGACAAATACTTGGTGACAACACTTGGTGACACACTTTGGGGACAATACTTGGGGACAATACTTGGTGACAATACTTGGGGACACACGGTGACAATACTTGGTGACAACACTTAGGACAACACTTGGACAACACTTGGGGACACACTTGGGGACAATACTTGTGACAATTTGGGGACAACACTTGGTGACACTTGGGGACAACACTTGACAACACTCTGGGGACAATACTCTAGACAATACTTGGGACAACACTGCGGACAATACTCTAGACAATACTCTGGTGACAATACTTGGTGACAACACTTGGCATACACGGTGACAATACTTGGTGACAATACTTGGTGACAACACTTGGTGACAATACTAGGGACAATACTTGGTGACAACACTGGTGACACATTTGGGACAATACTTGGTGACAACATGGACACATTTGGTGACAATACTGGTGACAACACTTGGTGACAATTGAACACTTGTGACAACCAGACAAACTTGGGGACAATACTTGGGGACAATACTAGACAATACTTGGTGACAACACTCAGACAATACTCTAACAATACTTGGTGACAACACTTGGTGACAACACTGGTGACACACTTGGGGACAACACTTGGGGACAATACTATGACAACACTTGATACACTTGTGACAATACTTGGGGACAACACTTGGTGACAATACTCTGGGGACAACACTGCAGACAACACTTGGTGACAACATTCGGTATGACAATACTTGGTGACAATTAGACAACATTAGACAATACTTGATACACTTGGTGACACATTTGGTGACACATTTGGTGACAACACTTGGTGACACTTGGATAATATCGGTGACAATACTTGGTGACAATACTTGGTGACAACATTGGTGACAACACTTGGAGACACATTGGTGACAATACTTGGTGACAACACTTGACTGGTGACAATACTTGGTGACAACACTTGGGGACAATACTTGGGTGACAATACTTGGTGACAACACTGGTGACAATACTTGGTGACAATACTTGGTGACAACACTTGGTGACAATACTTGGGGACAATACTTCAGACACATTTGGGGACAATACTTGGGGACAATACTTGGGACAACACTTGGTGACAATACTGGGGACATACTTGGGGACAATATCAGACAATTGGGGACACACTTGGGGACAACATTAGACAATACTTGGGGACAATACTTGGGGACAATACTTGTGACAACACTTGGTGACACACTTGGTGACAATACTTGGGGACAATACTTGGGGACAATACTTGGACAATACTTGTGACAATACTTGAGACAACACCTGGACAATACTTGGTGACAACACTTGGTGACAATACTAGGACAATACTTCAGACAATACTTAGACAACACTTGGACAACTTGGTGACAACACTTGGTGACAATACTTGTGACACACTTGGTGACAATATACTTGGTGACAATACTTAGACAATACTTGGTGACAACACTTGGGGACAATACTTGGCAGAATACTTGGGACACACTTGGGACAACACTTGGGACAATACTTGGGACAACACTTGGTGACAATGACAATACTTGGGGACAATACTTGGGGACACACTTGGGGACAATACTGGGGACAACACTTGGGACAATACTTGGTGACACTTGTGACAATACTTGGGGACAATACTTGGGACAATACTTGGGACAACACTTGGGACAATACTGGGGACAACACTTGGGGACAATACTTGGGACAACACTTGTACAAATACTTGGGACAACACTTGGTGACAATACTTGGTGACAATACTGGTGACACACTTGGGGACAATACTTGTGACAACACTTGGGGACAATACTTGGGACAATACTTGGGGACAACACTTGGGGACAACACTTGTGACAATACTTTGGGACAACATCAGGACAACACTTGATGACAATACTTGGACAATACTGGTGGACAACACTTGTGACAACTTGGTGACAATACTTGTGGACAACACTTGGTGACAATACTTGGTGACAATACTTGGGACAATACTTGGGGACAACACTTGGTGACAACACTTGGGGACAATACTTGGTGACAATACTTGGTGACAACACTTGGGACAATACTTGGGACAATACTTGGGACAATACTTGGGACAACACTTGGGACAATACTCTGTACAACACTTGGGACAATACTTGGTGACAATACTTGGACAATACTTGGGACAATACTTGGGACAACACTTGGTGACACACTTGGGACAATACTTGGGACAATACTTGGGACAACACTTAGACAATACTTGGGACAACACTTGGTGACACACTTGGGACAACACTTGGTGACACACTTGGTGGACAGACAAACACTTGGTGACAATACTTGGGACAATACTTGGGGACAATAATTTGGGGACAATACTTGGTGACAATACTTGGTGACAATACTTGGGACAATACTTGGGGACAATACTTGGTGACAATACTTGGGACAATACTTGGTGGACAACACTTGGTGACAATACTTGGGACAATACTTGGACAATATAGACAATTGCAGACAATACTTGGGGACAACACTTGGTGACAATACAGACAATACTTGGTGACAATACTTGGTGACAATACTTGGGACAATACTTGGGACAACACTTGGGGACAACAGACAATACTTGGGACAATACTTGGGAACAACACTTGGGACAATACTTGGGACAATACTTGGGACAACACTTGGGACAATACTTATGACAATACTTGGTGACAATACTTGGGACAACACTTGGGGACAATACTTGGTGGACAACACTTAGGACAATACTTGGTGACAATACTTGGTGACAATACTTGGTGACAACACTTGGGACAACACTTGGGGACACATTTGGGACAACACTTGGTGACAATACTTAGGACATGGACAATACTTGGGACAACACTTGGGACAACACTTGGGACAACACTTGGGACAATACCTGGCAGACAATACTTTAGACAATACTTAGACAACACTTGGACAATACTTGGGACAACACTTGGAGACAATACGAGGGACAATACTTGGGACACATTTAGACAATACTTGGGACAACACTTGGTGACAATACTTGGGACAATACTTGGGACACACTTGACAATACTTGGGACAACGCTTGGGACAACATTTGGTGACAACACTTGGGGTCAACACTGGGACAATACATGGAGAACACTTGGGACAACACTTGGGGACAACACTTGGGACAATACTTGGGGACAACACTTGGGGACAATACTTGGGACAATACTTGGGACAACACTTGGGACAACACTTGGGGACCACTTGGGGACAACACTTGGGGACAACACTTGGTGACAACACTTGGTGACAATACTCTTGGGACAATACTTGGACAATACTTAGACAACACTTGGGACAACACTTGGGGACAACACTTGGGACAATACTTGGGACAATACATGGGGCAACACTTGGGACAACACTTGGGGACAACACTTGGGACACACTTAGACAACACTTGGGACAATACATGGGGCAACACTTGGGACAACATCAGACAACACTTGGGACAACACTTGGGACAACACTTGGAAATACTTGGGGACAACACTTGGGACAACACAAGACTGGGACAATACTTGGGACAACACTTAAATACTGGGACAACACTAGCAACACTTGTATCAATACTTGGACAACACATGGGGCAACACTTGGGACAACACTTGACAACACTTGGGACAATACTTGGGACAATACTTTGGGACAATACTAGGGCAAATACTTGGGGACAACACTTGGGACAATACTTGGGGACAACACTTGGGGACAACACTTGGGACAATACTTGGGGACAATACTTGGGGACAATACTTGGACAATACTTGGGGACAACACTTGGGGACAACACTTGGGGACAACACTTGGAAACACTTGGGGGACAACACTTGGGGGACAACACTTGGGGACACATTTGGGGACAACACTTGGGGACAATCAGGGGACAACACTAGACACATGGGCTTGACAACACTTGGGGACAACACTTGGGGACAATACTTGGGGACAACACTGGGGACAACACTTGGGGACAATACTTGGGGACAATACTTGGAGCAACACTTGAGACAACACTGACAACACTGTACAACACTCAGGGACAACACTTGGGGACAACACTTGCAGACAACACTTGGGGACACACGGTGACAATACTTGGGACAATACTTGGGGACAACACTTGGGGACAACACTTGGGGACACATTTGGGGACACATGGGGGCAACACTTGGGGGACAACACTTGGGGACAACTTGTGACACATTTCAGACAACACTACTGGGGACAACACTTGGGGACAACACTTGGGGACAACACTTGGGGGACAACACTTGGTGACAACACTTGGGACAATACTTGGGACACACGGGGACAATACTTAAACACTTAAAGACACTGGGACAATACTTGGGACAATACTTGGGGACAACACTAGACACATTGGACAACACTTGGGACAATACTTGGGACACACTTGGGACAATATCGGGACAATACTTGGGGACACACGGGGACACACTTGGGGACAAACCTGGGGGACAACACTTGGGGCAACACTTGGGACAATACAGACAACACTTGGGACAATACTTGGACAACACTTGGGGACAACCCTTGGGGACAACATTTGGGACAATACTTGGGGACAATACTTGGGGACAACACTTGGGGACAATACATGGGGACAACACTTGGGGACAACACTTGGGGACAACCCTTGACACATTTGGGGACAATACTTGGGGACACATTGGGGACACACTTAGACAACACTTGTACATGGGGACAACACTTGGGGACACACTTGGGGACAACACTTGGGGACAACATTGTACAACCCTAGACAACACTTGGGGGACAATACTTGGGGACACATTTGGGGACAATACTTGGGGGACAACACTTGGGGACAATACTTGGGGACAACACTTGGGGACAATACTTGGGGACAACACTTGGATAACACTTTGGGGACAATACTTGCGTATAAACACCAGGACAACACTTGGGGACAACACTTAGGGACATCAGACAATACATAAAGCAATACTGACAACACTTGGGGACAACACTGGGGACAATACTTGGTGACAACACTTGGGGACAACACTTGGGGGCAACACTTGGGGACAATACTGGGGGACAACACTCGAGACAACACTTGGTGACAACACTTGGGGACAACACTTAGTGTACAATACTTGGACAACACTTAGAGCAACACTTGGATCAACACTTCAGACACACATGGGGCAATACTTGACAATACTTGGGGACAACACTTGGGACAACACTCTGGGGACAATACTTGGACAACACTGACACGAAACACTTGGGGGGACAATACTAGACAACACTTGAGACACATTTGAATAACACTAGCCATGGGGACAACACTTTGGGACAATCAGACAACACTTGGGGACAACACTTAGACAACATGGGGACAACACTTGGGGACAACACCTGTACAACACTTGGGGACAACACTTGGGGGACACAATACTTGTACAATACTTGGGGACAACACTTGGGGACACCTAGGGGACAATACTTGGGGACAATACTTGGGACAATACTTGGGGACAACACTTGGGGACAAACTTGGGGACAACACTTGAGACAATACTTGGGGACAACACTTGGGACAACATCAGGACAACAACACTTAGACAATGCTTGGGGACAACACTTGGGACACACTTGGGGACAATGACTTAAACACTGGGACAAACATTGGGATAAATACATGGGGACAACACTTTAGAATACTTGGGGACAACACTTAGCAACATTGGACAACACTTGGACAACACATGGGCAACACTAGACAACACTTGGAGCAACACTTGGGGACACACTTGGGGACAAATGACTTGGGGACAATACTTGGGGACGACAACACTTGGATCAACACTTGGGACAATAGGGGGGCAATACTTGGGGACACAATTCTAGCAAACACTTGGGGGACACAATGGGGACAACACTTGGGGACAATACTTGGGGACAACACTTGGGGACAATACTTGGGGACAATACTTGGGGACAACACTTGGGGGACAATACTTGGGGACAACACTTGGACAATACTTGGGGACAACACTTGGGGGACAATACTTGGGGACAATATTGGGGACAACACTTGGGGACAATATAACACTTGGGGACAACACTTGAGATAACACTTGGGGACAACACTTGGGGACAATACTGGGGACAACACTTGGGGACACATACTTGGGGACAATACTGGGGAACAACACTTGGGGACAACACTTGGGGACAATATCAGACAACACTTGGGGACAACACTTGGAGACAATATATGACAACACTTGGGACAACACTTGGGGACAACACTTGAGACAACACTTGGGGACACACTTGGGACAACACTTGGGGACAATACTTGGGACAACACTTGGGACAACACTTGGGGACAACACTTGGGGACAACACTTGGGGACACACTTGGGGACAACACTCAGACAACACTTGGGGACAACACTTGACAATACTTGGGACAAACACTTGGGGACAATACTTGGAGACAATACTTGCATCAACACTTGGGGACAACACTTAGTATCAACACTGGGGACAACACTCTGGACACACCAGACAACATCAGACAACACCTAGAGCACACTTGGGGACAACATCTAGTATCAACACGGGGACAATACTTCAAACACCTGTATCAACACTGTATCAAACACCTGGGGACAACACTTGGGACAACACTTGCAGACAACACCTGTGTCAACACTTCAGAACACTCTGGGACAACACTTGTATCAAACACTTGGATCAATACTTGTATCAACACTTGGGACACTGTATCACTTGGGGACACATTTGAGACAACACTCTGTATCAACACTCTGGACAACACTCAGACAACACTTGACAAACACTCAGACAACACTTGGGGACAATACTTGGGACAACAGACAACACTTGGGACAACACTCTGTATCACACTCTGGACACACTCTGTGACAACACTTGTATCAACACTGTATCAACACTCTGGGGACAACACTCAGTATCAACACTCTGTATCAACACTTGTGACAACACTTGGGTACAATACTTGCAACACTCTGTATCAACACCTGTATCAACACTCAGATCAACACTTGCATCAAACACTTAGAACAACACTCAGACAACACCAGACAACACTCTGCATCAACACTAGAACACCTGGACAACACCAGGACAACACCTGTATCAACACCTAGACACACCTGGGGACAATATTCCAGACAATACTCAGATCAACACCTGGGGACAACACTTGGACAACACTCAGACAACACTCAGACAACACTCTGTGAACACCTGTGACAACACTCTGTATCAACACTTGTGACAACATCAGTATCAACACTCTGCATCAAACACCTGTATCAACACTTTCGTATCAAACACCTGTATCAACACTTGTGAACACTCTGTATCAACACTCAGAACACCTGTATCAACACTGTATCAACACTCTGGGGACAACACTCAGACACCACCAGACAAACACCTGTATCAACACTCTGTGACAACACTTGCGGACAACACTCTGTATCAAACACTCAGACAACACTTGTATCACCTGCATCAACACTTGGGGACAACACCTGGGGACAAATACACTTGGGGACAACACTCTAGACAAACACTGTATCAACACTAGACAACACTTGGATCAAACACCTGTATCACCACTTAGACAACACTCAGACAACACCTGTATCAACACCTGTATCAACACTTAGACAACACTCTGTATCAACACTGTACAACACTTGTATCAACACTCTGTATCAACACCAGACAACACTCTGTGACACACTGCATCAACACTTGGGACAACACTTGTATCAACACTTCAGACAACACTCTGTATCAAATACCTGTATCAACACTTGCATCAACACCTGTATCAACACTTGGGGACAAACACTTGTATCAAACACTTGTATCACGAACACCTAAACACTTGACAACAATACCTGTGAACACCTTGTATCAACACTCTGTATCAACACATGTATCAACACTTGCAACAACACTCTGGACAACACTTAAAGGGACACTTGGGACAACACTCTGTGACACACTTGGGGACAACACTTAAAGCAACACTGTATCAACACTTCAGACAATACTTGACAACACTGGGGACAACACCTGGGAACATCAGACAATACTTCAGACAACACTTGGGGACACACTTGAAGCAACACTTGGATCAACACTTGGGGACAACACTTGGGGACAACACTAGACAACACTTGGGGACAACATCTAAAGGCACTTGAACACTCTGGGGACAACACTTGGGACAAATACTTGGGGCAAACACTTGATCGCACTTAAAGCAAACACTGTATAACACTTCAAACACTTGTATCAACACTTAAAGGCCACTTGGGGACAACACTGGGGACAACACTTGGGAACACTTGGGGACAACACTTGGGGACAACACTTAAACACTTGGGGACAACACTTAGGGCACTTGGGGACAATTGGGGACAACACTTTGGGGACAATACTTGAAGCAACACTTGGGACAACACTAGACAATACTTGGGACAACACTTGGGGACAACACAGACATTTGGGGACACACTGGGACAATACTGGGACAACACTTGGGGGACAACACTTGGGGACACACATTTGGGACAATACTTGGGACAACACGGACAACACTGGGGGACAACACTCTAGACAACACTTGGGGACAACACTTGAGACAACACTTGGGACAACACTTGGGGACAACACTTGGGACAACACTTGGGGACAAACTTGGGACAACACTTGGACAACACTTTGGACAACACTTGGACAAATATCAGACAACACTTGGGACAACACTAGACAACACTTGGGGACAATACTTGTAACACCTGTATCAACACTTGGGACAACACTTGGGGACAACATTGTGACAATACTTGGGACAACACTGTATCAACACTTGGGACAATACTTGTAGACAACATCAGACAATACTGGGACAACACTTGGGACAACACTTGGGCAACACTTGGGACACACTTGGGACAACACTTGGGGACAACACTTGGGACACACTAGACACACTTGGGACAACACTCTTGGGACAACACTTGGGACACATTTGGGACAATACTTGGGACAACACTTGGACACACTCCCAGACACACTTGGGACAACAGTTGGGGACAATACGCAGACAAACACTGATATTTGGGACAAATACCTGGACAAACTTATCAACACTTGGGGACAATACTTGGGACAACACTTTTGGGACAACACTTGGACAACATCAGGACAACACTTGGGGACAACACTTGGGGACAACATCAGAACACTTGGGACAACACTTGGGACAATATCAGGACAACACTTGGGACAACACTTGGGACCAAGAAGAATAACACTTGGGACAACACTTGGGGCACACTTGGGGACAATACTTGGGGACAACACTTGGGACAACACTTGGGACAACACTTGGGACAATACTGGGACAACATCAGGACACTTGGGGACAACACTTTGGATCAACACTTGGGACAACACTGTATCAACACTTGGGGACAACACTTGGGACAATTGGGCACACTGACAAACTGAAACTTGGGACATTATCACTTAGCAACACTTGGGGAAGACACTTGGGACACACTGTGAGCACTTGGAATAAATACTTGGACAACACTTTGGGATCACATCAGGGGTCAACACTTGGACAACATTTGGGGACAATATTTGGTGAAAACACTGGACAATACTTGGGGACATTTGGGGACAATACTTGGGACAATACTTGGGACAACACTTGGGACAACACTTGGGGACAATACTTGGGGACAATACTTGGGGACAATACTTGGGGACAACACTTGGGGACAACACTTGGGGACAACACTTGGGGACAACACTTGGGGACAACACTTGGGGACAACACTTGGGGACAACACTTGGGGACAACACTTGGAGACAATACTTGGTGGCAACACTTGGGGACAACACTTGGTGGCAACACTTGAGGTTAACACTTGGAGTCAACATTTGGGGTCGACATTTGCGGTTAACCCTTGGGGTCAACATTTGGGATCAACATTTGGGGGTCAACACTCCCTCTCGTATAATACAGTACCACAATTTTCTAGTCATCTGGTCCGCGTAAGACTGACTGTAACACTGCAGTAATAACAATCAAACATTGAAGAACGTTGATTCATCCACACGAAATTTATACATAATTTTATCACCTGAAAAATCTCCACCCCAGCTTATTTCAACCTCAAGATTAACCAATCAAACGCTAACTTCAACTCACTTCAATTTACTTCACTTCTCCTAACCTAACCTAACTTAACCTAACCTAACCTCAATAGTGTTAGGGTGGTTAATCTTGAGGTGAAATAAGCTGAGTGGAGATTTTTCAGGTGATCCGTGTAATGTGATTTATCAGTTCAGTGGTTCAAATGGATTAAACCTTTAAACGCTTTTGGCATATTTCTTTAAATTCAAGATGGCCGCCACAGCCATCAATTTCTCCTGTAAAAGTTTAAATTAACCGTAACTTGTTCCCGTGTACCGCTTCCGGGGTTCTGGTGGTGATTTTTTCATTTTTTTTCATTTTTTTTCGTTTGTTGGCGAAAACTTTGGATAATGAAGTTTTCGTTATATGTAGTTGTTCGCAGTAATGCCGGTCACCGTGTGAAGTTGTTCTTGTTCAACAGTTATTTTGTGTCAAAGTGATCGAGAGTTCTAAATTACACCGCCAGGGAGAGTAATATCAGGTGTGGCTGCTGGCAGAGATAAAGAGGTGCCGTCAAAACTACCCTACAGTAATTACTTTCCAACAGTTCGTCTCAGTTCCCAGAACATTCTTGGC